GAAAAAAACCCCACCAATAAGCGCAGGATCCACCAAGATAGAGGAGGAACTTTGTCACAAAGCCCACTTTTGGCTGTCCAGTCTGCAGAGCAGTATGTGAAGAGAGCTGAGATGAAGGGTCCCATATACATCACTGATTTGTTTGCAGGTGGTGGAGATCTCTCGGGAAGGCAGTGTGATTTAGAGCACCCGGGACAGCACTCGGAATAGGGAAGTACTGAATGCTAATTCCTGGTTCTGTGACTGGCTTGCCATGAGACCTTGGGCTAGCCACATCATCTCCATGCTTGATTCAATTACTTACTTAATCAGGAGTTACTACAATGAGGTCAGCAGAGTTACGGTGATCGGAAACCTGCACGAGCAAAAACACAACCCAGCCCTCTTCATCTCATTGCAAGAGTAATGTGAGGAGTAGCTACCTAAGGTCCTGGTTCTGACGTCACGGACATTGGTCTAATTCCATTGGTTTCCAGGGAGCTACACCCACTTTACACCAGCATAGGTGAGATCAGAATTAGGTCCACAACATTCTATACCATGTAAATGCTTAATAATAGTGGTGAGATGGTCTGTAACTATGCAAGACAGCCAGGCCTGCTGCTAATTCTCTGCCATTACCCAGGTTACCCCTCTGTAACTGCACTGACATCAGAAGCCCATAAAAACCATGCATCGCTGCTTTGTATGATGGAGAAGCAGGATATAATTTTTGTTAGCTCACACTCTCCTAGGGCCCAATCATTGAAGGCGATGAGCATTTCCTGGCCAGGATGACCACAGACCTCCAACAATGCCTACTACAAAACCCACATCTTTGCCCTAGCCTTCCCACAACCGGAAAAATAATGATGTCCAGCCCCTGCTGACCAGGAGGAAGAGATACATCTACGCATATGCTTCATAACATTGGAAGAGACTCCCATAGCACAATGAGGCACGCCGTAGAAGCGTTTACATGAGAAAGAAAGGCAGAGAGAATGCCCTTCAACTCCCATTGAACTCGGTTGGCACGGAAAGACAGTTAGCACTTCCCAAGCCAGTCCCCAGTTAGGAAGAAGAAACCGTTTGTTTCAGCTGGCTTAGGCTCCAGTTGGGCAACTTCTCCCTATTCAGCACATCATTGAAGCATTGAGGGAGGGATAGCTCAGTGGTTTGAGCACTGGCCTGCTAAACCCAGGGTTGTGAGTTCAATCCTTGAGGGGGCCACTTGGGAATCTGGGGCAAAATCAGTACTTGGTTCTGCTAGTGAAGGCAGGGGGCTGGACTCGATGACCTTTCAAGGTCCCTTCCAGTTCTAGGAGATGGGATATCTCCATTAATCCCCATTAAAATCCATGAGAGTTCAGCATTTGCTTAAAGTTATGGTGGCCTATGTTAGAAGAAGATGTTTTAAAAGATAAAGGAAAATCATGCGCTCCCTATGTCTATTCTATGAACACATTTTTGCCTTGAATCCTACAGAAAAATCTGTGCCAATAAAGCAACATAAAAGTGTTTATTACTATCAGTAGCTGATTTAAATAAAGGAAGCCTCACGAAAGCCTGTTGCTGAACCTTCACTGCTACAAACCTCGGAGAATTCCTTTAGCGACGATCGGCAGAGATGTTAGTCCTCTGAGCCATTTAATATCCTCCCACTTGATGGACGGATCAATCGCTTGGGCTACATAAACAGCCAGTCCACTATTTTCACCGTAGCCTTTCTCGGAGGAAAATGCCAAAGTGTCGGTGTTGAAATTTTTCATTCTAACGTTACACAGAGACAAAAGAAAATTACACTGAAAAAAGAAACATTTAAAACCCCGCATTCGCCCTGCAATGAGTTCCATGCCAGCGGATCCCTTCGCTGGTACACATCTTATGGCAAGATCGGGGGCTCATATTGCACAGTGCAATGGGGCCGGTCACCTCCCGTGAGCGCCTCCTATCGGGCGGGAGTGTGTCTGCACTCTCTCTAGCTGCGTCACTTGTGGTGACCCCTTTAGGCTGTTAACTTCTCAAGCAGGTTTTCAGCGACTCAGCCCTCCGGCCGAGTCACACACCGTCTGTGGGTGTATAACACAAGCCAACACCTTCTGGGGTACACAGTCCATCAGGGCATCTCACAGTGCCATTAGCTATGTCTCTACCGCTAGCCCTGTCCCTGGGCTCAGTCCTTAATCAGTCCAACAGGGCCTATCCCAGTACCCTCAACTGGTCTCTTTAGCCCTACCTCCGGGCTCGGTTCTCAACTGTCTCTCAGCCGCTTCTGGGCTAGCTTTCAATACTCCCTGCTCTGTTATAGAGCAGTGCCCCCAGGACTCCCTCCCTGGAGACTCTTCGCTCGATAGCAAGGCTCACTGGCCCCAGCTCTTCAGCTAAAGCACTAGTTCAGTCCCCTTCTGGGGGGTTATCAAAGTCCACAAATGCTGACCCTCTTTGGGGTCTTCAGCCTGCTCCCTGGGGCCTGTGTAAATTCCCCTTTTTTGGGGCTTTGGCCCCTCTGCCTGTGGCTGGTGGAGGGGTACCTGCTGGGCTCACGCACTACTCTGAGTCGCAACCCAGGGACCCTATAAATAGTAGCCACCTGCTGCATCCCTTTTAACTCTGTGGCTAATGTTCCCTGGGCCACTTCCCCATGGTCCCTTCACCTGTACCTTCACCCTTAGCTCAGGAATGAAGTCTTGCTGAGTCACTGCAGTCAGCAGGAGCACCTTCCTTGCTCCCCAGGTCCCTGCTGGCAGTGCTCTGTCCAGTCCTGGAACTGCTGCAACCAGCCAGGAGCACTTTCTTTGCTCCTCAGGATCCAGCCAGTAATTGGTCTGATCTGTCCAGCAGCTCCTTTTTATAGTAGCCTGATGGGCTGTGATTGGCTACCCCTGCAGCCTCTAATTGGCTGCTTCCATGCTGCTGCTCTAGGAAGCCTAAAGGAGTCACCTCTGCTGCTCCTTTTCTGGGATGGGGCATGGTAGGACTGAGAGGCCTCCAGCAGGGGGCCTCAGGGACTGATACACCCCATCACACACAGTTAGCAAAGGCACATATCCTCGCATTTAGGGTAGTATTCAATATCAACCAAAAAAAATCAGCCAGTCATGTGTCTCATAGCTTGCATACAAAGGGCCTATGCTACTGTCATTGCAGTCAATAGCAACACTCCCCTTGCTTTTAAGGGAAGTAAGATCAGGCCCTAGTCCAACAGCAAGTCGGTGTTAGGGTCAGGAATAGAACCTATGAAGAGGAAGGATGACCCAGTGGTTAGGACAGTGGATTCAAGTCCCTTCTCTGCCACAGGCTTCTTGTGTGACCTTGGACAAGTCACCAAGTCTCTCTGTGCCTCAGTTCCCCATCTGTATAATGGGGATGACACCACAGCCCTGCCTCCCACAGGGATGTTGTGAGGATAAATACAGTAAAGATTGTGATGAGTTCAGATACTATGGTAACGGGGCCCATATAAGTACCTAAAATACATAGATGCTCATTCTGCTGGACAAGAGCTGCTCCTTTAGGGCCTAATCCAAAACCCATTAATCACAATGAGTAATATCCTGATCTCATTGAAGTCAATGGCATAACACCTGTTGACTTCAATGCAGCAAGGATTTCACCCAGTGGATCTGGCCCACAGGTATCTCTAAGAGTATGTCCATGCTACAAGCACTACAGCAGCACAGCTGTAGCTACATCACTGTAGTGTAGACAATGAGGCCATGTCTACACTGCAGCTGTGCCGCTGTAGCACTGTAGCGTAGACGCTTCCTACCTCAACGGAAAGGTTTTTTTCCATCAATGTAGGCAATCCACTTCTCAGAGGCAATAGCTAAGTCGATGGAAGAATTCTCCCCTCAACCTAGCTCCTTATACAGTGGGGGTTCGGTCATCCTAAATATGTTGCCCAGGGCATTAAATGTCTCACAGCTCTGAGGGACACAGCTAGGCCGGCCTAAGGCTTTGTCTACATTAGCACTTATGTCGGTCAGGGGCGTGAAAAAAACACCCCCTGACCAACATAAGTTTCGCCAACAAAACCCGCTGTGTGGACAGTGCTATGTCAGCAGGAGGCGCTCTCCTGCCAACATAGCTATCACCACTCATTGGGGGTGGTTTAATTATGCTGGGGGACAGCTCTCTCCCATAGGCATAGAGGGAGACCTTACAGCGGTACAGCTGTGCCACTGTAAGGTCTGAAGTGTAGACATAGCCTAAGTTTTAGGTGTAGACCAGGCTTTAGTTAACCCACTTACATTTCAAGAGTTAGTTTGAAGCAAGAGAGATATCAAGGGGATTTTCCCCAGTGCAATCTTCATAGTCTGGCTCGTCAGATGAGCTCACAAAGGCCTCATTAGCATTATACTGGGAGTGGGAGTGGCAGCAATTGCTAACAATCAAGGTTGCTTAACAGTTTCCATTCAAACACGCCTTCTTACAGTTGTACATAACTTTTTGAAATGTTTACCTTTGGGACTGAGGTAATTCTTTTTTATTGGACTAACTCCTCCCCTCTCCAGAAGTAGGTCCAATAAAAGAGAACACCTCACCCAACTTGTCTCTGTAGTATCCTGGGACCAGCATGGCTACAACAACACTGCAGATCTTTTGGACTGAAATTTTCCTTGCATGGTCTCTGCCTGAAGATGAATATTTTTGGAAAGTTTGAACAAATGAAGGTTCCACTGCTTTTGGAGTAAGATGAAAAGAGGTGTGTCATGTACTTCATGTACACAATAGGTTGCTGGGCTACGAAGAGCAGGTAAGACTCTTATACCAGATATGGGCCTGCTACAGAGCTTCTTTCACTGAGAGATACACCAGAGGTGTGTCTTTCATAACCATCCTTTAAAGCACTCCTGCCTGTAGCTACACTAACTCAAGTAAGGGCTGTTGCACAGGGTGCCACCTAGTGACTGAACACTATTGTACAGTTTAGCATTCCAAAACAGGCTGGGAGGATCACACTGGGCTTTGTTAAGCTCTATGCCTTGCATATGGGTATAGGAGGGTTCGCAGTCCTTAAGCCTTGCAAAGCGTTGTGAAGATTCATCATTTCATTTGTCCAACAAGCATGACATCAAATCAGTTGATTCTAGTTTCCTTCTGAAACACAAAAAAGAAATCCATGACACTCCATACCAGAAAGTATATTGTTGTTATTTGTATTGTGGTAACACCCAGAGATGCAAAGTGGTGCTAGGTGCTGTACATACACCTAGTAAGAGACAGGCGCTGCTCCAAAGACCTGCAAAGTGGTGCTAGGTGCTGTACATACACCTAGTAAGAGACAGGCGCTGCTCATTGTCTTAATAGACAAGAGACTTACCCAAGTCACCCAGTGGCAAAGCCAGGAATAGTACCAAGCTCTTCTGTGGCCCACTCCAATGCCCTCTCTACCAAACAACTCTGCCTTTTCAGAAACTGGGCCCATTCTCTGATGGCAGGAAGTTTCATTTTGAATTTCAATGAACAGCTCTAGGAACCAAGCAATTTTCACATGAAACCGGCTGGTTTCACTTCTCTGTTCGTACCTCAAACTAGCTGAATTTCACCTGGTTTTAGGCTTTCATTGTGCCGCTCTAATCGTAGCATTAGAAGAAAACGAGAAGGGAACAGTCTGCGTCCTCCCTCCCCTCTCCAAGTAAGGTCCAGCTTTTTAGCACTTGGTTTGTGGGGCGGATAGGAAAAAACAGAACCATGGAGCTGATTATAGCAATAAGTGTTGTTTTTCTTGGACTCTGAAATGCAGATCAACGCTTGAATGAATGTTGTCTTACATACATTTCTGTGCACAATGGCACCTTGTTGTTACTCAGAAACTTTGTTGAAAGTCTGAAGCCAAGAAAAAGTTATCAGATCACTTGACAAAAGCATCATACTGGAGAATTTCACCTATGGCTCTGAAACAAAAAGCTACACGGATGTCTTTTTGTGTTTTTCATTTGAATTACACTATTTCAGTGTTTAAAATAATTCCCTGGTGTTAGAAGGTTTTACAGGGTTAATTCAGTGAAAAAGCAAATGGTCATCAAGGTAATTCCACAACTTGGGCAAAACGGTTTCAGAAATGTTCTACCCAGTCTGCCCGCGCAGAGGCTCACAGGTCAGACTTGTTTCATTAGCAGTAAGTGACACAGCAGACAGGAAGAGTTGTAGGAAACAGATCTTGGGTATGAGCGCTGAGTGACTAGTTATGTGCTGAGAGCCAGCAATCCTGACTCAGCGTGGATTCCTCAAATCCCCTGGTGGCACGCTGAACAAGGTGCCTCCTGGACTGGATCCTTTCTCCAGTCCAACTCATTACACTAAAGATCCAGATTTCATAGAATCATAGGACCGGAAGGGACCTCGAGAGGTCATCTAGTCCAGGCCCCGGCACTCATGGCAGGACTAAGTATTATCTAGACAATCCCCGACAGGTGTTTGTCCAACCTGCTCTTAAAAATCCGCAATGATGGAGACTCCACAACCTCCCTAGGCAATTTATTCCAGTGCTTAACTACCCTGACAGTTAGGAAGTGTTTCCTAATGTTCAACCTAAACCGCCCTTGCTGCAATTTAAGCCCATTGCTTCTTGTCCGATCCTCAGAGGTTAAGATGAACAATTTTTCTCCCTCCTCCTCATAACAACCTTTTATGTACTTGTATTTGTTTGTTTTTAATCAGGAGGTGTTCCCCTTCCTCCCTCCCCACTGCTTTTAATGCTCCCACTGACACTCAAGACTGTTTATCTCAGTGTTGGTCTCAAGTACACTCCTAGAGGTGGCAGGGGTGAGAGCATGACAAAGGAAGTTTGCTCAGCTCCTGAGTCATAAAGGAAAATGTGAGGCACTTAACCTGGAAGAACCTCCTCCTCCCCTCCCCGCCCCGGAAGGGAACAACCCAAAACCACACATAACATTGCAGGAGCAGCAGCAACAGGTGTGTATGTCCTAGCGGAAAATGGACTTTCCGGAGCAGCAGGCTGGTAAGTACCTGAGGTGCGGGGGGAGCTGGAATTTGTTGCGTACGTCATCAAAGCGCTTGCCAAGGAGCGGCGTGTCCACCGTCACAAAGATTCCTTTGTAGCCTGCTCTCTCAGCACGCTGCACGAGTGACCTGGTGACCTCCCGGTCCTTGTAGATATAAAGCTGCAGCCAGTGAAGGCCATCAGGAGCCGCCTGGGCAACTTCTTCGATGGTGGAGGTGGCCCAGGAGCTGAGCATCATCCCTGTCCCCAGCGACCTGCAAGCTGAGAAGCAGAAGTTAGATTCGTGCCCGTTCTTCATAAGTGGGACCCCTTTAGAGCTGGCTACGTGGCAGGAGTCACCGGGTTAAAACAGCAGTGAAGACACGGCGGCTTTGCTTCCAATTCAGGTTAGCAGCTCAAGTTAAAGCCGGTAGGGAAGTCTGGCGTTGGACTCAAAGCGGCTAACCCAAGTTAAAAGCAGAGTTGCCGTGTCTTCACTGCGGTTGTCCCCCAAATTAGCTCACTTGGACTAAGAACACGTCTTTTTTTCCTGCAGTGAAAATATACCCTGAATAGTGGGCACACAAAGGGTGGGAGGTAAAAGAGAGGTGACTTGCCCAAGGTCAAACGGCAGGTCAGTGGCAGAGCTGGGAATACAACCTAGGTCTCCTGCCTCCCAATCTAGTTCCCAGTCTATTGGACTGCAGTGCCTCTTGAGCTTTTTCCTCCTAGAACTTAAATATCTTGTGGGTGAAAAATCCCTCCCGTGCAGAAAGTTAGCGATAGGGTTATGCATCATTTAAAAGCTCCACATAGGGGTCAGTGGTGCCCAGGCTGTGTGCTAGCTCTCTGCACAGAGGGGAATTCCACCCCAGGGTGCCTGACAAACTAACTAACCTCGCACAATCATATTTTGAGACTCTAACAGGGCAATCTATCACAATGTAAAACAGAGGGAAACACACAGTAAAAGCTCTAAAATATCAGAGAAAGCCTGCTTTTTTCTGGGTGCACCACAGCATGCATATTTTTCATGTAAATGGGCCTCTGTCTACAAACCTCATCTCCATACTTTCCAGGTCCTAAAAAGTGGTCTTTATGACGACGTTTGATTAAATAAGGATTACAAATCTCTCAAAGTGGAATCTTATGAACAGTTTATTCAGACAAATTGGTTACACCCTCCCACAACCACTGGGCAGCCTTCAATCAGTGAAACAAGCACGCTTTGGGCTTCTATCTTGCAAGTTTTGCTACTCCATGAAGCACAGACAGAGGGACGCGTAAATTACAGAATCCATGAAGCAGGATAAATATAGCTATCAGACAGGCGTTTATGATGCATCAGACTCTTCTAAGCGTTTGTTTTTATTTATATTCTCCTTTTGCTTAACTCAGCAGCAGGACAACTGTATAAAGTGAACAACAACAGATGGATCTCTTGCATTTACACCAGGGGTTCTCAAACTGGGGGTTAGGACCCCTCAGGGGGTCACGAGGTTATTCCATGGGGGGTCGGGAGCTGTGCACCTCCACCCCAAACCCCACCTTTGCCTCCAGCATTTATAATGGTGTTAAAAACAACTTCTTTGCATATTTAATTTAAAAGGGAGGTCACACACAGAGGCTTGCTATGTGAAAGGGGTCTCCATACAAATGTTTGAGAACCATTGGTTTACACTGTACTAGTGAGAGAAACGATAGAGAACATTTTCACTCCCTGGCCTACCCAGAAAATTGTAAATTGCAAATCATTTATTTGAAAAACTTTGCCTCTTATTTTTTTCACAAATTAGCAGCAACCGTATAATGACTTCTGCTAATGGATCCATTGCCCAAAATTACGTGCTGAATAATTCCCGGTCTAAATGACAGATGGTTCACAAAGCAGTTCCTTGAAAATATTTAGAAATCAAGTTGATTTGGTTGAACATGTAAGTAACCTGGTACCTTTCTACAAAAACAAGGAGTCTGGTGGCACCTTAAAGACTAACAGATTTATTTGGGCATAAGCTTGGGGGGAAAAAACCCTCATCTAAAGAGGGGGGTTTTTTCCCCACGAAAGCTTA